TATATATATATATATACTGCAATATAGTAAACAAAAATTACTTATTAATAAATTGCTTGTTTGTTTGTAATTAAGCACAGAGCTACACAATGGGCTATCTGTACTCTGCTCACCACGAGTATCGAAACCCGGATTCTAGCGTTGTAGGTCCGCAGACATACAGCTGTACCACTGGGGGGGGGCTATTAATAAATAGTAACCCATGTTTTGTTACCACTTTAGTGTTAAGATTTACATGTTATGTTGAAATATTAAAAATAAATATCGTTATTTTAAATAGATTATAATAGATAATACAAGGATATGTTATGAATCTGAGTGAATGAACTGTTTCGTTGTCATTAATGAAAATTTCATTTAATTTAACATAAAAGTTTTAGTAAAAAAAAATTAGAGCTAGTTTTATCAGCAAATATTTACTAAGAGAAATATTGATATAAGAAAAAATGCAATACAAAGAATCCAACATTTCTTGTTACTTGTTTGTATTTTGGTCAGAATAAACTCGGATTAGAATTTGTTTGTCAATTATTCACTTATTCATTATTTTATATTTTAGTATAGGTTCCGGAAAAACTGGTTCTTTAGAGAACTTGACATGATAAACTGAATTAAACAAATTTAGATTAAAGATCTATAACATTTAAATCTTATTATGAATTACTTTAAGCCTAATGTTTTTTGACTGTCTTAAATACTTGCTGAAGTGATGTTGTTGATACAGACATGCATGCTTGAAAAGCGAACTTTAACTTCATTTTAGATTTAGTTGGATTTTTTAAATGATTTTTTCTCGAGCCAGCACGAAGGCTTATTTTGTTATACTCAGCTAAATGTCTATTGTTTCTTCAGCCCAGGATTCTCATGGTATAATCCAACCAGATGTTACATTTTATCAGCGACCACCAATCAAAGAAGAATGCGCTACTGTATCTACAACCCGTAGCGCCCCCTTACGGTTAACAACACCAATACGACCACTGACGCCAGCCTATCAACCATCTCAACCGATTACCATAACAACAGTTCGTGCAGCTACGTCTTGTACTGACCTCACTTTACCACCCGGCTACGTAATGTCACGTGATTCACATAAGTGCCATTAATTTTTTCTACCTAAGTTCACCGAATCATCCATTGAAACAATTCATATTAATTCTCGAAACCCTTCTCTTATTGGACTGCGTGTGTTAATTCTGAGAGTAAACACGATCTCAGAACACTCAGTTTTCTTACTGTACTATATTCTTTCTATGACAGAGCACATGATCTTGTGAGAGTATTTGTAACGGGAGGCAAAGATGGAATTACGAAAACATCAAAATATTCCGTCGCTCAGACATTTTATCTGAAATAAACGAGAAACGGATTCTTATCACAGATCGATCTTTTTATACTCTCCGAGTGGCATTAATTTGAAGTAAATAAAGTGAAGTAACTTTTAAGCTATGCTTAATTTCTAACGAATACGTACCGTATCCCAATTAATGGATGTGTGTGTTGAATAATAAAAAAAGTAAACTTCATTGAGGCTATTATTCGGGATGAGGTTGAAACGGATTAATATCGATCAGTATCAATTTGCAATACAACCGAGGCAATCTTAGGCTTAATTATAACATTTCCGCCTTTATACTAAAACAAAGTTGAGCGAGTGAAAGACACAGATGTCTAAATCGTATATTTTGGACGTGTACTTTTGTTGAAAAATAACATAATTTTATTAATTCAGTCATAGGCAGGTTTTTCTGTTGTAACTACTAAAACATACAGCTGTAAAAATGATTTTTTTTTACTGCTAAGCAATATCATGGCAACTGATGTATTGTAGAATTTATAAATATAAGAATAAAAATATCATACACATACATACACATAAAGAAAATAATTGAAGTCTATGTTTTGAGTTGCGTATTACGAAGGGAATAGCAACAAAAATACTTTATTTGAAATTCGTGTCTGTGTTTTGCAAAGCCTTGTAATTAGTCAATCTAGGTTTCAAGAATATTTTGATTATTTTTTATCGCAATAAGAAAGGACGAATCCGAATTCAGTGAATGATAAAAAGTTATAGTAAATTCCGACTGATTTTCTTTTTGTGTATGGATGTGTTAATTGTAGGTCTTTCCTAAGTGCCTTATTAACTATTGGCTTATGAATATTCTATTACATTTGAAAATTTTAGTATTTCGAATGCAAGTGAACTAAATAATGTACAAACTTTTTCATTATTGTTATTTATATTTCATTATTTTTATCATTACGAAGTGAAGAGACACGAAAAATAGTTCCGAAAATTGGCTTCACTAACTTATAAATCGCTTCTTAGTTCTGATCTAAAACAGCTCACGATTGATCAAAGTTAATAATAATTACTGCAATTTTCTAATCATTTCCTGGTCAAAATTACTGTTAATGTTTAATTAATTGATATTGTTAATGATGCTTTGAGAAAATACTTAACTTGGAATTTTTTTAAATAAATTGACGTATGAGCTGAACACCTAGTAGACTTATAATATTTCAAATTTAAGAGAAAGTATAATAGGATATTTACGCAAATGTATCAAAAAGTGATTATAATTACATATACATAATGATTACACAAATGTTCAATTTTGATGAACAGCTTTTTAAGGAGATAATGAGAAATACTAATACTACTGTGTTTTGGAATTAATCCACATATTTGTTTATGGAGAAATTTGGAATACATAACATGCCATCTAACAATAAGAATATACTTTAGAAACATTGTTTTAAACATTTGTCTGTATATAATAATCTGTTTAACTTTTAGTTAAGGTGGACTAGAAATAAATTCAAAAAAAATTTTGGAATGACAAGTCAGTTTCTTCATCTTAATACTATAAAAAAATCATAAATTTAATAAATTGTATTTGAGAATTTAAGAAAATAATGTATTTTTGCCGATGTAAAAGTATGATAAAAATACAGGCCTTTTTTGGAAATCCCTGTTCCTTATTAACCCTTTCGAGACCAGGCATGTTGTAAAAGTGGACGAAATATTAAATATTTTTTACATTTATTTATTGAAGTCCTTACAAACCACATACTATTAGGTTCTGAGTGAACACCTTTAAGTACATCCATGTTGTCCCTGGGAATAAAAATAGAGGGAGTACCCGCTAAAACGGTGCAATTTTAAATATAAACGTTTCACTCCCGAAAAAGAAGCATAATTTATTTCATTTACTCTTTAAGGCTTTATCTGTAATAACAAATAAAATTATGTATGTTTCTGTAGATTCAAAACACTGAAAAAAATACAAAAAAGGGGGGATAAACATTCAGTTTGTTTCGTTGTTCTAGAATTTCCACTCAAAGCTACATAAGGGCTATCTATACATAGCCATCCCCAATTTCGAAACTATTGAGTGAAGGTGACTATGTAGTTAATGAAACCCATCGCCAACTCTTTAAAATATTTATTTTCAATTTGCGTTAGTAATTTCAAACCAAAGTTCTCAACTTCGAGCCTATGCAAGTTTGTTGAAGCAAATTATGGAGTAACACAGCTAACGTGTTAAAGAAGAAAAAAACATTTTCGTACACTTTTAGTAAAAGGAATTCTTTTTAATAAATAACAATATACAGAATCTACTCTAATTGTTGCCTTAAACGTCATAAACATTTTATACAATTATATACAAAAGTACATTTTAACTTAGTGGTAATTTATGATCTATTTTCAATTATTATGCTTTCAAACCATATTTTTTGTGAAACTACAGCAATGCATCTGGGCCTTTAAATAATATATTTTCTTATTTGCCATAAAAAGAAAATTTTCTTGAAGTTTCTATATTCATTTAACAGATATATATTCGCAGTTTCTCAACTCTCATGGTTATTTATATAGTAATTAACATTATAAATTAAAAATACAGAAATGAATTAATCAAATTTTAATGCAAGCTCAGAGTACAAACTTGTTTGTCCATAAAACACCCTTCTAGTATGGAGCTGGAGTTTAACAGCTGAAATTGCAAAAAGATAAAAAATAATATTAACGCGCATCTGCATAACAATATAGCAGTTTGTAAGGTATAATACTGATCATTTGCTTCATACCTTAATTATAAACATCTAATTTCGATATTTATACAAAAAAAAAGACACATGGAGCATTTTTCATTATTGTTATTAATTTTCTACGAAAATGTAGAAAAAAGTAATATTTTGTAAGCCAAAATATACAACTGTTTTTAATGTTTATGGACATCATCGCTCTATTTCTTAACTATAAAATTTGTTTAGAAATTAAATTTTAAATGAAATGTTTTTTATTATCTCAAACTTATTAAGAGCTTAATCACATATTCTATAACTGAAACAAATGGCTGACAGAACTAAATTGTGGAAAATTCCCAAGAAAAATTCCATATATGGTACATAGTCAGATCCTTGAGAGATAATTGGATAGTTATAAAACAGACCAGTAAATATTATTAACTGAGTTTCGCTTTTGGGATTATTATTTCCATCTTACAAAAATTAACAAGTGAAACTTGAAAAAATTACATTTGTGGTTTCAAACTTTCATCAAAGCAGACGTATGTTATATATCAATCTAGCTTTCCTTATTTCCTAGAATCGGTGTATTAAAAATAAAGGGATTACATGTTAACTTCGCATATCACTTAGAAACGGTAGTTTTCCGTGATACTCAAGTATATGCCTTTACATACCTAATATTGTTTCCATAAATCAGAATTCTTCTAAAGTGTTAACGATAACTTATAAGCGAGCCGACCACGATTAAACTTTAAATAAATACAAAACCTATACCAATCAAGCTCGTTTCCATCGAGAAAAATACCCAACTTTTGTTGTATTAAATATTTTATTAGGAAACAAATTGTTTTTATCATGATTATATAAAGTCTGCCGTTTTCGAATGTACCAATCTCTCATCTAAACAGCTAAGTCAGTAGAAAGGAATGTTACTAAATGGAACGTGGATAATTTTAGATAGGGGATTTTGCTAGGCGTAACGTTTGTTCCTAAAAGCTGTCAGATTTTCCAAATAGATCGAAGTCCTCGTCGTATCTTCACCGTTTAGTTTTACAGAATTAAGTAACAAAACCTAAACCATATCTTTACAACTTATTATCTGTTTAATCTATAATATTAAATTAAACGGCTAAAACCCCAAACTTTTCACTCCTATAAACATTATGCATATTATGAATACACAATCAATACTTATTGAAATTACAATTTTCATAATTAAGCAGTTTTGAAAAAAAATCGTTAAGATGCTATAGCAAACTATTTAGGTAATAGACTACATATAAATATGTATAAAGACTAAACTTGGATACAGTGAAAGAATATATTATAAAAACTATTCAGGTAATAGAATACATATATATATGTATAAAGACTAAACTTGGATACAGTGAAAGAATATATTAGAAAAACTATTCAGGTAATAGACTACATATATATGTATAAAGACTAAACTTGGATTCAGTGAAAGAATATATTAGAAAAACTATTCAGGTAATAGACTACATATATATATGTATAAAGACTAAACTTGGATACAGTGAAAGAATATATTAGAAAAACTATTCAGGTAATAGACTACATATATATATGTATAAAGACTAAACTTGGATACAGTGAAAGAATATATTAGAAAAACTGTTCTTCATTCGAAACTTATATTTTAAGAAAATAGATTATTTTCGTTTAAGTAGTTAGAAACCTTAAATAACAGCTGAAACTTACGTTAAATATATTACTTAGAATATTGGCGAATACTTCCAAGATGCAAACAACAAGAATATCAAGATGCAAACAGCAAGAATATAAAGTCTCAGCCACGCAAATGCAACCAACTCACCAGAAAGAATATGAACACACGTAAAAACTGAGTCTTAAATCACCACTGTATTTGTTTAACAAATTCCTATTTTCCTGCACTGTATGCTCGTTTTGGTAAAATAGCAGTTTAACGGCCTATATTCCAATTTCTTATTTTAAATCGAGAACAAAAATCATCACTCAAACAAAAGTTATATTCAGAGTGTTACAAAAATTTCACAGAAGGTGAACAAAAACACTTATTTTATATATATTTATAAAAAATTTACAGTTTTTTTTTTTTTACATCAAAGACAAAAATCACTAGTCAACGTGATTTTCGTGGGCGCTAGAGGTTTGTCTGCCATTTGAAAATGAAGGGTTTAATGTACTGTAAATTTTAGCCAATCAAATCTTAGTTCCGTTGGCTTTCTAACCTATGAAATTAAAGTTAAGTTACTTTTTAACCAATCGCATGTAGCAAAAAAATCAAGGTAAAATTGTAATTTTATGGCCGAAAATCCAATATGGAATATAAGCCGCTAAACTGCAATTATATCCCCGTTTTTAGGGAAATTATTGTAAACTAAAATTATAAAAAAATTTAAAAACTTATGAGAAATTTATCAACAAAACTTATTAATATTTTAAATTAATTTTGTAATAGTGAACTTTGTAAGGCAGAAGAAAACTTATTACATTTTTTCTCATTCAAAAAACACTGGGATAATTAACGATTTTAATATGAAAATAGTTTTCTCTAACAGATCGTAGAAAAATATCAAATATTGACTATTTCTGTCTAAATCTCATTAAGCTAGCACTTTGAATTTCTTAGCTAAACATTATGGAATTTGTTGTGCCCTACTTTTTCCTCTATATTACAATTTAGGAATATTATACGTGGCAAAAACCTTCTTCTACTCATATTCAAACTTGCCACTGGTACGAGTGACGAGCTTTTGTAGAAGAGCCAATGGCATCAATGTACAAACATAAGCCTATTTATTATGGTATCATACATTGAATTACAAGAAATTGAAACTACACAATAGTTGTAGGATTAGGCTTAAATAATCTCCAATTCAACCATGAAATGGAAGTATAGTTATTTAAATGCTTGTCAAAAACAAAGTTTTTTTCACTGTGGTGAGTATAGCAATTATCATGCGATAAAATAAAATTCATGTTTCTGTACATTTCACCTCTACTACCATTCTTGTCAATTTTCTGGTTGTGTTTTTCAAGGTTTTCTCTGTATCCATAATCCCCTAATAAGAGGCACGCTTTAAAATGTCTCTGCTGCCTAAGTTCTAGGAGTTGTTGCTGCCGTCTAGAGTCTTTCCTGAGCATTCGCACTGCCAGCAGTATCAGTATGACCAGAATACAACTCCCCGCTATAGGTACAGCTATCACAGCAGCCCGAAACCAGAGACCACCTTCTAGCGACCCCTCTCGTACATTGTCCGACTTAATGAAATATTCATCATCGTAGTCATAAATACCTAAAAAAAAAAAAAATTATAATAATACAACTGTTACCTCATAAATTGATAATTTTTTCTTGTGAACAATGCTGCATGTTACACAACCAAAACACATTTTCAGACATAATTTTTATTTGGCGTTGTATCTTTCTTGAAAATGAACACAAAAGGTTGGCCTAACATATTGCATTAAACAATACTACTATGGTAAAAACAAAACAAACAAAAAAAGTCTCTTCTTACAATATAAAAAAACAATTTGTAGATAAAATATTTTAATACCCAGTGATATTTAAGGATATCGTTACAAAATGATTAAAATTATTTTGTTAAAAGTTAATTTGATATCAAAACCACTTAGCACGACCATATATCTACCTTCAGGAAAACTGTGGTTAGCTCTTGTATGAACTTGAATATTAATATCCACACTGTTTCCATAGTTACACATGTCTTCTTCACAACAAAACACTTTGAATGGTGTCCTGGAAGAAAGTCTAAGTGAACGACCCTTAACCCGACACAGTGCCTTTTTCTGGTCATTCAAATATTCTAGACAGCCATGACGCGACCGAAAAAGGTCGTTACCGTAGCCGCCATTCTCATTATCTGAGAAACACAAATTGTGAGATGACTTGCACATGTAGCCTGTATTGACGCAAGATGGGAGATTGCAGTAACATCGGATTTCGGCTACAAAAAGAAATATATATATACAAGTCAATGTAATAAACATTTCGAAATATAATTTTTACTACATGTAAATATTCCACTTCAGAAATAATGAAAGCATATGTTTTACGAAAATAATTAATGCTTTAGTAAAGGGTACGTTTGTTTACACATAATTCTATATTCCTATAAACTGCATTAAAATTTAATTAGAAAGGTTTAATAAACAAATCCTATGTTAAGCTAAAACGATTAACTGTATTAAGAGTTTGTTTCTTTGTTCGTTTGAGGTTATGCACAAAGCTACACAATTGGCTATCTGTGCTCAGCCCACCACGGGTATCGAAGCCCGGTTTCTAGCGTTGTAATTCCGCAGACATACTGCTGTGCCACTGGGGGGCATAATTGGAAGTTAAAACCAAAAACTGAGGGACATGGAATATTAGTAACAAATGTTTACTTGTGATATAAACGATGAAACAAGAGCTTAATTATCATGTCGTTGTCTACTACAGTGACAAAAAGCAACTACAAATGGCAGATGAAATTGATTTCAGAAAAAGCTATTCTTTTTCTCAAGTATTTTCACAAATGTTTTCTACGAGTTAAGACGTTTATAAATTATGCACTGAAAAAAAAAAACACAAACTAAAAACGTCATTATTTTGCAATAATTGTGTAAATCTTTTGGAATATTAAATAGGTTTCATACGTCTATAGGTCACAGTCGTCAGAAATCTTGAATTTGTGGGATTACAGCAAAGTACGAAAATTCAAACAATTATGAAATCTACAGAAGCTCAAACTAATAGAATATTTTGTTTAAAAGAAGGAATTTTGTTTGGGTCGTCAGACAGCACTAACTATCATACTGAGTTGTGCGTGCATAATGAAAGAAAACTGGACAACAACAAAATCTATTAACTATCGGACATGTGTCAAATCCTGTAGGGGTTGGAGTTGGGGGAGGGGGTAATAAAAACAAACATTTCAATAAATGAACACCGAAATGTAAAAGGTGTTATATGAAACCTTAATTGTGTGTTTGTTTGTAGTTCAGTACAAAGCTACACAATGAGCTGTCTGTGCTGAGGCAATCACGGGTATCGAAACCCGGTTTTTATCATTATAACTCCACAGACCTGCCGCTATGAAACTGGGGGCGAAACCTTAATTGTGCATTCAGTGGCTTCTGAAATTTATATATATATACACAATAGAACTCAACAGTGTGGAAAGTCATTTTCCTGGCATAGAATGTAATATTTAAAAGTCCCACATGCATGTCAGGCAACTTGTAACTGAGTTACTTTTGTACTTCTCTTTAGTGGCCAGGTGGTTAGGGCGCTCGACCCGCAATCTGAAGGTCGTGGGTTCGAATCCCCTTCACACCAAACATGCTCGCCCTTTCAGCCGTGTGGGCGTTGTAATGTGACCGTCAATCCCACTATTCGTTGGTAAAAAAGTAGCCCAAGAGTTGGCGGTGGGTGGTGATGACCAGCTGCCTTCCCTCTAGTCTTACACTGCTAAATTAAGGACGTCTAGCGCAGATATCCCTCATGTAGCTTTGCGCGAAATTCAAAAACAAACAAATAAGCTTAAGCCTATACCTATACAGTAATTTTTCAATAGTGCCAACACAGATTTAACACAAATCCTCGTAAGCTTACTCCAGTTTCTTTTTTATCCGTTTAATAAATTATTGATTAGAAAACCAGATATCTTAAAGACATAAGATAAAATATATGAGCACTTTTTCCAATCGCGGATAAAACTATACATCTTACAGAACTCTTGAAAGTTTCAAAGTAACCTTACATAAAACTACTTCATAGGTGAAAAAAAATACCGACCAAAATTAGGGCAAATAAAATAAAGGGGCAAGAGAAAACACGTATGAAAGAAAAGAAGAGGAAAAAAAGATGCATCTTTCATCTTAAACCTGCTGAAATGGGAACACTTGCACAATGACACAATGTTAATGACACCCCGCAGTAACAAATTTAAAAGACACCGTTTCAACTGTTGTACTATCAGTTTCGAAAAAAAAAAAACAACAACAAAAACGGTATATTTATTATGAATAGCTTTACTTTTACACACCTGGAGGTGTATCAAGTTAACTGAAAAAAACGAGAAATTAGAATATTTCCGTCATCAAGCTTGTATGGAATTCATAAAATCTTGGGGTGATATTTGGGTTGTTGAAGATTGTAAAATTTGATAAAGCCCTCTGCTGGCGTTCGGGCTACATACTAAATTCTTATTACTCTTTAAACTAGATTATTATTATTATTTTATTTTTTGTCAAGCGCCCTTCCTAGCTGGAAACGAAATACTGCTTTGACGCACGACACCTACTTTATATGCACCTACGAATATTTTTGGAAGTAAGTCAATAATGAAAAACATCATCTAGATAAAACAGAAACTTTAGTAAGAATGGGAATTCAGTCTAAACAAATTTTCAATTACTATATAAAAATGTTCGTAATAATATTTCTTTGTTATTCGTATAAGAACACGTTATGCCTATATAACTGCAAAAGATAATAACCCAGGAATGTGATAATGAAAATTGACTATTTTCACACTGTTATTTAATATATTTTAAAAGGCTTGTTTGTAGTTAATTACAAAGCTGCACAATGGGCTATCTGTGCTCTGCCCACCACGGTTTCTATCACATATAATGTTGTGCCACGTGGGGGGGGGGGGTCTTAAAAGAACAGAAGTTACAGTACTAACAAATTTTGTTTTGTATTCTACAACTTTAGAATTACACGCCTTACTTGTGCGTTTATTACAATACCTAAAAACTAAATCACTATACAATGCAGTAGTTTGTATTAGGAAAGCATACTGTTTTTTAATCTTAGCGTCCGAAAAAAAAAAACTGCGATAAATTCTGTTCTATACACTTGTTGTATAATGTTAACAATGACCAGTTAAAAAAAATCAGAATGACACTTCGAATAATGAAACTAGAATTAAAACAAAAAACCGCAAAACTCTAAGTAGTTTCAGAGGCGTCTCTAGGCGCTGGAACACGAGGCCCGTGCCCCTATTCTATTTGATAATGCTCCGAATTTATTGCTCTTGAAAAATCAGAAAGAAAACCATGATCGATATCGTACTGAAACGTCGAAAATTCCCGCGAGTTCTAAGCACGAGCCATGAATCTTTTAAGTACCTACCGACACCTCTGAGTAGTTTATCAGAAACTAAAGAGAACTGGGACCATTTTGTTTAAGGAAAATTTCCAGAACCATAGATAAATACCATAAATAAATAGAAAACTAAGGTATTTTCAGGCCCGTACGCAGAATGTTTTAAAAGGGGTTATATTTTTTATATCAAAAGCCAACGAATGCTCATGTTACGAGGGTCTGGGGGCATGTCCCCAGAAAATAAAAAAGGTGCTAAGAGATTAAGTCTGGAAGCAATTTAGAATGAAATATAGCTTAAACAGTTGTATGGCTGTTCACATAAAATCCACAAACATCTAATAAAAAGTCAAACATTTGTGAATACGTTTGACTTATTTTAACATGTTATTTTAAAAGAAGTGGACTGTACTGTTGTTTGTTTATTGTTGAATTTTATCGCCAACAAGCCACAGACACCTACTGTAAAGAATCGAGCCTACAAAACCTGACAGTAGGAATACGACTTCGGACTTCCAATTACAAAGTGTCAACAAAAGCTATTCCATTCGACTATTTTAAGCCAAGAAATGCTAATGCTTCATTAGAAGAATGTAGACTATGTAGAAAACGTTAAATATCATAAGCAGCTATGCTATAACTACCGTATTTTTCGGAATATAAGACGCACCGGTGTACAAGACGCACCCTTATTTTGAAGACAAAGTTTATAGGGAGAAAATCTAAAGTCGCAATTGAAATATTTTTATTGAACAAAAATTCAATTTGATACTTTAAAAATTAGTATATAATTGTTCTAAACACAAA